TAGTTGTATTGTATGTAGAGGTCTATTTATTTAGAGGTTAGGGGTTTAGAGGGTGACATACCTCCTGATCTTCCAGCAACTTGGCTTAATAATATCAGACTGTTTTTAAAGCAATATTCCCCATACTTTAATTATGTGTTTTTGTAAACCACTAAAATCGAAAGTCACTACACTTTAACACAAAGTTTTAGAAAGGTAATTAACTTAAAAGTAAACAAAGATTGAAAAAATCCCCCAACTTAAAAGTCATCTGTATACGTCCCTGTACGTGTATTATCATATGTAATAAGAGTGTTCTTACACTTTCGTAAAATGAATATTTTCTCATTTAAAGCTACAACTATATATAATGTTTCAGAAGTGTGATTCACCTGCGTTGCATCGTGCGGGTACACCACTAGTATATATATACATGTAATAAAATATCATTTTCTAAACATTTAACACAAATGCTTCATATTATTGGGAATATCAAAATTCGTTTCTCTCAATGGTAATAATTTTTTAGGAGTTCTCTAAATTTGAAGAATTTCATATTCTTTATAATCCTTTGTCCATTTTGAAGAATCTGTTGGAACAAAAATTTGATTAAAATTTCTATTTTCTCCATTTTGGAGAAATTTTCAACAAAAATTCTTCAGAATCTTCATAAAATTAAGAATCAAAACTCAAAATCTTCAAAAAAAATAGATCCAACTCCAACAGATTCTCTATTTTAAAGATTAAAATGTTTTATTAACATATTAAAATACTGTTTATCAATCATAAACATTTAATATCAATGTTTCTTATTGGTAAGAATATGATGAATAGATTTATTTATTTCTCGTCTAATCATTTTTGGGGAGTTCTCCAAATTTGAAGAATTTCGTACACTTTCGCTTGTTTTCTCCATTTTGGTAAAATTTTTGGAGAAAACTGTTGGAGCAAAATTTTGTCTAAAATCTTTATTTTTTTATATTTAAGAATCTGTTAGAGATGATCTTACGAAAACTATTACCAGTATTTTCTTGATCCAACAAATTCTCCAGAAAAAATTCAAAATCAAGAATGAAAAGTCAAATTCTCCAAAAATAAATTACATTTAATTTCAACAGTTAATCTATTTTATAGATTACTATATTAATTATATTATTAAAATATTCAATACAATTGATAAAATATTATGTCTTTGTCCGTATTAAATCTCAAAGATTCTCATTGATAGGAAAAAAAAAGTTTATCTTTTTAAATAATCTATACTATATTATAAAACATCCGAGACAAACTCTTAAAAACCATTTTTAATGCATTTAGTACTGTTTAATAATGTGTATTATAAAAATTTAAGATTATAGGTAAATGGTGCATGAGTACAATTTTTAAAGCTGCATGTTTGAATTTATATAACCAACTGATAGATATAATTAAATACATGATAAATATATCTTTTTAAATATTTAAAGATTTAAAATATAATCAGGATAATCATTGAGTTTTAACAAAATACTTGATTATTATTTTTATAAATAAAATATTTACATTATTAAACCTAAAAAAATTACTTTGTTATGAGAACTAAGGGGTTGTTTACTAAACGCTTACCTGGTAAATGCATACCGAGTAATTTTTCTTATTTGATGAACATGACAAGTGTCAAAAATCTTACCCGGTAGGAGTAATGATAAGATAGAGAGTCTTGCTCGGTAAGTGAGGGCAACGACTCTTACCCGAGTAAGTGCTTACCAGGTAAATTGTTGCATACGCTACCATTTTAATGTACTACAATTTTACTTAGTAAAATAAATTACAGCGTTGACTCCTAATGATAAGTGTTTACCAGGTAAGCATTTAGGTAAACGACCCCTAAATTAAATTTTAATAGAAAATTTTAACTAAAAAGATTATAAGAAAACAAGAACTTTTAAATTTTTAACGTGACACTGATATCGATATATTATTTTTTAATTTATATTTTATTCAAACACAAAAATATTATAGTTTTACCAATGCCCATATAAAACTGTATTATAAAACCGACATAAATAAAAAATAAAATTAAATATTAAAATCGAGATGTATTATTATATTACACGAATACGCTTTTAACCATTTTTAAAAGGTTCTTCAAATTTTAAAAAGTCAATCATCTTTTTTACATTTTCTCTATTTCTGAATAAAGGTTTTTAAAAAAATTGGAGGAAAAAACTAACCAAATTTTATGACTTTCAAATGGTGAATGCATACGTGTTTGATTTACGGTAATCTTGAATTTTAATAAGTTGTACTTATGCATAATTTACTTGTAAACTTAAATTTTAAATAATATACATCAATATACGGTACTTCATACATAAAAAAAATATTTTTTAAGAGTTTTTGTTAAGTGCTTTTAATACTAGAAGAGTACTCGCGCAATGCAGCGAGACACATCTCGATTTTAATGTTCTATTTTATTATTTGTCTTTGTCGATGTTATGATACGATTTTATGTGTTTGTTGAAGATATCATAAAATTTTGAAAAAATATATCAATGTTAATGTCATATCAATTATTTAAAAGTTCTCATTTTTTAAGTAATTTCTTTAATTTATTTTTTATTATAATTTAAGTTTAATGATAAAATAATTTATTTTTGGTCTAACATTATAAATTTTTTAAAGATAACAATTACGTATTCTGTTATAATTCAATGATTATCCGAATTATATTTTAGATTTTTTATATTTATATTAGATGTTTATCATGTATTTGATTATGTTTATTTACAGTTAGTTACACAAATTCAGATATGGAGCTTTAATAAGTTGTACTTATGCACAATCTATTTGCAATCTTGAGTTTTAAGTAATATGCATTAGTAAACAGTACTTTACGCATAAAAAGTGGTTTTTAAGAGTTTTTGTCAAATGCTTTATAATATAGTATAGATTTAAATTTTTATAATTTAAAATGTGATGTTTATCATATATTTGATTATGTTTATCCGTAATTAGTTACACGAATTCAAACATGAAGCTTTAATAAGTTGTACTTATACATAATTTATTTATAATATTGAATTTTAAGTAATATACAATATTTCATGTATAAAAAATGATTTTTAAGAGTTTTTGTCAAATGTTTTATAATATAGTATATATTTTATATTTTTAAAACATATTCGGTTGATTATATCATTTTAATAATATAATTAATATTAAAATTTTTAAAAACAAAAAATCTTTGTAGAAAAATATTTTTTTAATATATTAAACTATTAATCAATATGAACATATATCGAGTAAATTACATTTTTCGTTCCTATAACTTTTAGAAATTGTGATTTTCATCCCTATGGTTTGTACTTTACTTTTATTTTCATCCCTAAACTAATTCTTATTTTTTTAAATACAAAAAGACCAAAATGATAAAGAATTGTAAACCACAAGGATTGAAACAACAATTAATTATAATTGATAAGGATGTAAATAGCCACGATTTACAAACTATAGTGATGAAAACAATAATATATAAATGGGAGTGCTAATGGCAACACCTTAATAGGGGTGTCAAACACCTTGAAAATTGATCGGTCATTAAAACCATAAAATATCAAAATCAATCAAATAATATAATATATTTTATTATTGTTATTATATATATATATATATATATATATATAATTCTTTGGTATATTATTAGTTTAAGTTATATTATATATATATATATATATATACACATAATTCCTTATATATTATTATTTTAAATTATATTATATATATAATCTCTTATATGTTATTATTTTAAATGTTCTCTAGCAATGTGGCAGAGAGGCGTGAATTTTAATGATTTTGAAGTTTCTTTGGTTTTATTAGAGAAGATTTAACGATATATAAATTACACTTGGTCTTTACATATTAATACAATTTGAATAAATAAGAGTTATGGTTCCAATTACAGTTTATCGATGAAAAAAATTGTATGACAGTTTAAAATCCAATATATTTAAACGACTCTACAAATATATTCGATTTATACCAAGAGCAAAGAATCAAGAGAGCGAGACCGAGAGTTCTAGAACAATTGAATGAGAGATGAATGAAATAACTTTTAATAACTCATGGTGAATATCAATTTGAATTTCACATTGGGGGATGAGGAGAAGAGATAGAGGTATGAGAAGGTGAAGACATGAGTGAAATGTGTCAAAAGTATCTTGGAAACATGAAAAAAAAAGGTAATAATGTGCATTGATAACTTGTACTATATGTTATTTTAATTGTAGATTAAGAGATTTTAAGACTAAATGCATAAAGTAGTAATATTTAATGCATTATGAGTTGTTTTTAAGACTTTATACATAAATGTATAGTACTTTATACATTAAAAATTGTTTTTAAGACTTTTGAAAAATCTGATTTATAAGATAGTATAGATATAAATATAGATTTATGTAGGGAAAGCTTAAAAGTCATCTTGAAGAAAGCTTAAAAGTCATTTTGTGTTTTAGATTTCCTCAACGAAAGCTTAAAAGACAAGTACTTTTGTGTTTTAAAAACAAGTACTTTATGTTTTAGATTTTGTACCTTTTTAAGACTTTAAGACATTTATCAAATTTGATTAATAAGATAGTATAGATTAATCGATATAAACTTGATAATAATTAAAAATTTGATAGTATTTAATATATATTGAACTATTTAATATTTACAAAAGCTTAATATTATATTAATATTTTGTTTATAAAGACCACCCTTTTTTACCTTAAATATGGAGATTAAGCTTAAAAACCCTTAATTTTTTTTAATATATTAATGTTGGATTAAACATGAAAACGTGTCTATTTTCATGTTTTTATTATCGGATTGAAGACGCCGTGAGTCTTACTTTTTTTTATTTAATGGAAAAATAGTTAAAAGATAAATTACACGGAGGAGGGAGAAACACGTGAGAGAGGAATGCAGAGGATAAAAATACACGTGGAGACCACCGTGCACCTCTTTCTTAACATGGTGCTTCCTTAATTTCCCTCTCACTTTCTCCACCACCCCTCAACAAATCTCTCCGCCCTCCGAATCCTCTCCAAACCCTAATTCACCCTTTCTTTCCTCCATCAACCCCTAATTCTCCATCTTCATCCCTTTTTAGGTATCTTTCGATTCTCACCCACCTTTCTTTCTTTCTTTTTTAACAGTCGTTTACTCTGTTTTTTTTTTAATCCCTGAGAACAAGAACCAAACTTATGTTTCTTCTGCTTCTTGTTTCTGTTGTAAAGATTCTTCATATAAACTGCTAGAAATTCATCATCGTTTTTGAGTTTTTGATTCGTTTTGGTATCCGTCAGTACGAAATTAGCATAAACGATGATCTTTATGAATTGGGTGTGTTCTTGTTGCTTCTCTGAAAGATGTGTATCTGTTTGAACTGATGAATTGGTTTGAGATTCTTGAAGAGTTTCTCTCTTTTTTTTTTTTGGGTGGAATTGAATTGATTTATGGATTATTTTGTATTTGAACTGTTATATTATTGTTGCCAATTGTACGATTGAGATCTTTTTGTCGGTTAAACGACCTTTCTTGGTTTATGTGTACTCAAGCTGCTGATTTCTAAGTTATTTGAGTTCCAAGAAAATGAATTTTTGTTCTGCTTATGGTTTGCTAAGATGAAACCTTCCATCATTTATGTGGGAAAAGGGTTTGAAAGGCTGAGAATGATTCTTAATGAGATTTTATGTGATTATGGTTATGTTCCTCTTAATTCATCATTGAATGCTCCTTTCATGTCTGTCTCCCACATTCAATGCTCTGATACTACATTATCACCACCTTATGAGCTCATTTGATTTGAAACAGGAGAGGCGTAAGTGCCAGATTATTCACTCAATCAAACCTCCATCCTACTGTTATTCAAGTAATGGATCGGGTGGACACATCCGGGTTTGTGAGTGGGGGGCGAATTTATTGAAGAAAGATTCCGAAAGTTCTGTTCTTGAGTTCTTGAATCCACATGGCTGATACCCCTCAGTATTTCCCTTCGATCTCAGGTTCAAACGCCTGCAAATGTGTTAGAAAAGTTGTTCATGGCGGAATCAGTTTTCCCTCAAGCTTTGACTCCCCAAATTCGAATGAAAGCAAGAGAAAGCAGAGTTCCATGGATGGGGGTATAGATTTGCAAGATGGGTCCTCATTGTCTCTTGGGTTGGGTTGTTCTATGAACTCCGGGGTCACCATGTTTTCCGCCAAAGAATTCGAAGAGGATTCTTTGAGCCTTACAATGAACTTCCATCGGCTAAGTGACCTGAAAATGGACCCGAATTATGGTGCTTCCGATCCATCAAGAACCCAAGGACCGAAAGTGGATCTTGAGTTAAGTCTCGCTGCTGGATCTGTCCAATCCGATGTCACTGCTGTTGGTGAAGCATCGTTTCCGTTCAATTTTAGGCCACCGGTCACGAGCAGCACCATGACCTCCGGCGGAGTTCAACTTGTGGACGAAGGCTCGACATCATCTCGTTGGAAGTTACCTCTTTTTACAGAGCCTATAACTCCTTTTCACCATGTTCATGGCCATAATGGTCAGAATTTGGTTATTCATGGTGGCTCGGTTTCATTCGATTCTGGGTTTGTCAATCCACAGCAGCGGCGTAACGGAAACGTGAAAGATTGTCGGTTTATCGGGTGCACAAGGGGGGCAAGAGGTGCTTCTGGATTTTGTATTGCCCATGGCGGAGGGAGGAGGTGTCAGCGTGATGGATGCCACAAAGGAGCCGAAGGCAGGACTGTGTTCTGTAAGGCCCATGGCGGTGGTCGGCGGTGCGAGTTTCTTGGCTGCACCAAGAGTGCTGAAGGTCGTACAGACTTCTGCATCGGTCATGGCGGTGGTAGGCGGTGCAGCCACGAGGGCTGCACCCATGCCGCCAGGGGAAAGTCAGGATTATGTATACGACATGGTGGTGGGAAAAGGTGCAAGATGGAAGGTTGCACCAAGAGTGCAGAGGGTGTATCCGGCCTCTGCATCTCCCATGGCGGCGGCAGGCGGTGCCGCTATCCAGCTTGCACAAAAGGCGCTCAAGGGAGCACGATGTTCTGTAAGGCTCATGGTGGTGGCAAAAGGTGCACCTTTTTAGGGTGTACAAAGGGAGCAGAAGGTAGCACCAGCTTTTGTAAAGGCCATGGTGGTGGGAAACGGTGCACATTTGAAGGCGGCTGTTCGAAGAGCGTCCATGGCGGCACTCTCTTCTGCGTTAGTCATGGTGGCGGAAAGCGGTGTGCCGTGGCGGAATGTACGAAAAGCGCCAGAGGCCGAACTAGTTTTTGTGTTCGTCATGGTGGTGGCAAAAGATGCAAACAAGAAGGATGCGGGAAAAGCGCCCAAGGCCGAACCGATTTCTGCAAAGCCCATGGTGGCGGAAAGCGGTGCTCATGGGGCCAATCGGGACCATCCGGTGGTCAAAACTCAACTCCATGCGATAAGTTTGCTAGAGGCAAAACTGGTCTGTGTGCTTCCCATAGTCAGTTGGTACAAGATAACCATGAAGGTGGATTGTTATCGGTAGGTTTAGGTAGACCGGTGGAGATGGTGGGGTACTCGCTGCCGGAAGGCAGGGTTCACGGCGGTGGTTTGATGGCGATGCTTCAAGAGTCGACCAATGGTAGGTGGTGAATGGGTGCAAGTGAAACTTGCATTTTGTTGAAAGATATATTTAGGTTGGTTGGTTGGTGGTGTTGATGGGAGGTTTAAAGTGAATGTAGATAGATAAGGTTAGCGTTAAATATAGATGTGATGGTTTGTGTGTTGTTGTGTGTGTGTATATATATATATGTATGTATATATATATATATATGTATGTATGTATGTATATATATGTATATATGTATGTATATATATGTATGCTTAGTGTAGTATACTGTGAATTATTAAGTTCCTTTTATACCTAAATGTTGTTCAAATCTTTCATCTTTTATTAAATATTTATATATTATTACATGTGATAAGAATGTTTTTGATGTTATACTATAATCCATCATATTTGATATTAAATCAAAGATGCAAATGACCTTTGGCACGACCTCGGTCGTTAAGCACGCCGTATGCACTCTATCAGATCCCCTGATGTGTATTATCATATGTACTATGTAACAAGGGTGTTCTTGTGTTTTCGTAAAATGAAGGTATTCTCTCGTTCTTGTGCTTTTCCGCCATGGAAGCAGCTTCGCACCCACTCTCTATTGATAGCTTGGTTATCCAACCCATCCTTGAAATGGACCCTAATCTTTCACCTTCCAAAGATGATTTCTTCTTCTTCTTCTTCTTCTTCATCAAGATCTGATTTCAACCTTCCACCATTTCCATCTCCCATGGCCATCACTCTTGTTCATGATGACGATCTGACCTCAAACGCCATCATGGGTCATCCTGTTTTTGTCGAACAAATCCACATTGAATCTTCTGATTCGTTTATGACGACACCCGTCTCTTCACCTGGTTGATCTCAAGATTTGTGCTTTATCGTTACGAAGGTAAAGAGAATGATGCACAAGTACTTGGATTTGGTTGGACCATTTTGGCTCCGATTTCAAGGAGTCATGAACTTGAAAACCTCTGCTAGTTCTTGGAGGAGAAATGGAGTTGGGTCTTTGAGAGCTCGATTCATGACGCTGTTCTTCATTGCAAAGAAAACCATTGCGATCCCATCAGTATACAGTTTTTTAGAACGTCTCGTAAGAGACAATAACCATGGTTAATCGAGTTCATGATTTTTGAGGCAGATTTCACAGATGTTTGGCCACATCAAGCCAGACAATCAGTTCTGAAACGCCCCTTTTTAGTAAGAAAAAAAATGTTTTCGACTTTTTCATGCCCAGTTTTGTGTGAAAATAGGCTCAATTAGGCTTTTTTTATTTTTTTATCTATGCCCGTTCAGGATCTTAGGTCTAGCATGAACCTCAACATAGCTACGTTTAGGCTCTGACCAGGCTTCGGGCCTTTTTTACATCTCTCGTTCATAGTCATGGTTTTTCTTTGCAAGGGTAAGAATTTGGTGTTAAACTAAACCAGCCAACATGTGTACCAAACATACCAATTAGGTTGGTACTAGTTACAATTGATTGACAGTAAAAGGATTCAAACTTGGTTGATACACAATATCAAAAGTCTTGTACCACGATAGTACCATGGTATTGACTTATTTAATTATTTATTAATTTTTTTACTTTGCAAGTTTTATTTCCTGCGATTAAGAACTTTTATGCATGACATGTGTCACCTGCAACCAAAAAATGTCACTTAAAATTTGAACCAAATTCACATATGTAACATGATACAAAATAAATACCAACATGTAATTAAGTTCGTATCAAATATTATTTGTTAATAGAAGATATATGATTTTATTATATTAATTATAATTAGTTGGTACACGATATTGAAGAAAATAACTCGATACCATACCAAGTTCATCTCTTTGATATTAATGACAAGTAGTGATGGCCAAACCGGCATGGCCCAGCTCGGGACCGCCGGAGGACCGAAATCTGGGACGAGTTATGGATTTGGAGTGTTTCGCGGGACCGGTTATGGACCGGCCCGATTTTTAAAAAATGTAACTATTTTTTTTATTAAAAAAGGTACTTGTTTTTTGGCTCTTTTAGGTATTTTTTTGTTTTTTAAACACTATATATAAGTGTCTTGGTTGATGGATTTACATACCAAGTTCTCGATTCGTAAAAAACGCAAAAAAAAAAAAAGTTCATAATCATCGGTTTCTCGTTATATTTTGTAAGATAATGTAATTTTAATTATAATAAAACGTATTTTTAAAGTATATTTGAGTGACTCAATTACAAATTTTATAATGTATTAAAAATATATACCATTAAAAAAATAAAAATAAAAAAATATTTTTTATTGACCGGGACCGGAACCGGCAGCCCATAACCGGTTACAATAAAGCTTGACCGGGCTCAACTTTTTCGAGCGGGACCGGGACCGGTTATGAGAAATCTTGGGACTGGTTGAGCTCGCCTTTGCTCGTGACCGGTTTTTGGCCATCACTAATTATTGACAAGATTAAACTCATGTGGGCCTAACTGTATTAAGTTTTACGTTAAAATTGGGTCAAGTAGTTGGCACTTGGCAATTGGCACAGTCTAAAAGCCCATAACCGATTGAGGCCCAATTCAATTTATTTCTAGTATTGGAAAGTGGCCCGATAACTTTCTTCCATTGTTTCGACTTTCGAGTAACTTGAAATTCATCCAACTCTTGCCATATATAAACCGAAACGAACAAAATTAGAATGAATACGGGTCAAAGGGTCGGCTACCTTTTTCTCGATTCCTTTTCTTCTAATCCTTCGTCATTAATCCCATATATAAGTGAGGATGACCCACATATGTCTGGTGTGCAAGTAAGATTACCGACTTTCCATTCTTACATGATTCGAATCTTGGGTTCTTTTAGACTCGACTTGCTTAAATACCCGGTAATCGACAACCGACGTGCTCGTGCTTTTTGAAGCGAAAAACTTTAAGATTGATTGAAAATTAGAAAAGAACAAAATAAAAGGCCTTGGTGGGGGCCCAATAGCTATGTTGATTCAAAAGAAGAGTTGGTAACCCACATGTGCAATTTTCAGCTTTTGGTAGTTGAATTTTCATTTCTTTTTAACTTTTATTTCTTAATTAATTATTACTTATTTTTAATCCATATATTAAACACCACTGTCCAAATTATTTAATCCATTAGGTTCAAAATGCATGGTTTAAGCTGACTCCAAAGGTCAAAAATACCAGGAGGTCACAGGTTTAAATACAAGAAGGAATAAAAATTCCCTTGTGGCCACGGAGGTTCAAATACGGTGACTTCGAGCTATCTGCAAAGCAGGTAGTCGTCCTGGGATTAGTCGGCTCGCATAGTGGGTTGGATATCCAGGTTAATAAAAAAATGCATGGTTTATAAATGGAAGAATTAATTATAATGGTTAAAGTGTTGGGGAATGTTTGAGGAATGAAAATGAAAATGACGGAGAATGAAATTGGAAATGAATTTTCATTCTCTTCGATTTAATTTTGAATGAAAATTTGGACTTTTAAGGAAATGAGCAGATTATAGTATACTTATACTAGAAGGGTACTCGTGCAATGCATCGAAACACATCTTGATTTCAGTGTTTTGTTTTATTCATTTTTTATGTGGATATAGGTTTTATGTGGTTTTAAAAAATCGATAATGTTTTTATTTTTGATTAAAATATAAATTAAAAAATATCATAATTTTTTTTTAAAAAATTATTGATATTAGTATCAAATTAATCTTTTTAAAAGTTCTTGTGTTTTGGTGTAATTTTCTGAATTAATTTTTTTAATTATAATTTAATTTAGGTTTAGTAACAAATAAATTTAATTTAGGTTTAACAATATAATTTTTTAAAAAAGATAATAACAAAGTATTCTGTTAGAACTCTATGATTATCTTAATTATATTTTAGATTTTTTATATTTAAAATGAAATGTTTATCAAATATTTGATTATGTTTATCTACAGTTAGTTACACGCATTCAAATATGAAGCTTTAATAAGTTGTATGTATGCATAATTTACTTATAATATTAAATTTTAAGTAATATGCATTAATAAACAATACTTCGTGCATAAAAAATGGTTTTTAAGAGTTTTTGTTAAATGCTTTATAATATAGTATAGATAAAAATAAATCAGGACAGTCTGTAACGTTTTATTTATACATAATTCTAAAAAAAATGTGTTTCTTTATTTATTGAACGTTTTAAATATCTTATGATAAAGAGAAAAAAGATACAGAAATCTTGTATAGCGAAATAAATGTCATGTATTGACGAATTAGAAAACAAAAGCATAATACCGATGATAAATTAGCGACAATCTCTACAGCTACATACTGATAAAATCCATATTCGGTATTTGTTTTGGAAGGAGAAAATTTTGTCTAATTCACATCAATATGACTTTTTACATTAATCTTGCAAACCAAAAAATATCGATGCCATAATATATATATATATATATATATATATAAAGTTGGATTTCCGTAAGGATGAATTTTTTTTGGTGAGAACGTGAGAACAAAATATTCATTTACTTTCATCTCTTCTTATGTAGGGTTGTTTACTAAATGTTTATCTGGTAAACGTTTACTGAATCATTTGTTATACCAAATGAAAATGGAAAGGACCAATAATTCAACCTGGTACGAGCAATGACAAGGACCAATAATTCTACTCGGTAAACGAGGATCATGAATCTTTCTTGGTAAATTGTTGCATATGTTGTCGTTTTGATAAACTAAAATCTTAGTTATAACTAGGCACTATAGGCGTAAACGGTACGATACAACTCGCGAGCTATTCGAGATCGACTCGGTCAACGCTCAAATAGGTTCGGCTTAAACTCGAACTCGACTCTATTAACGAGTCGAATCGAGCTACCCAATACTTGACTCGAAAAGTTCGTGAGATACTCGATCTTTAACTAGTTCATGTGATTAAGAGTATGCAAAAGTTTGTAAAAGATATCGAAATGAAGATGACGGTTTCCGTTTAGATCAAAAAGCAACTCATTAAAAACTCCGATGCGCTCTTACTGTTCTCATTAAATTTTTTATTTTCACATGATATATAGATGAAATGGAATGTTTCTAAAGGACAAAATATTTAAATATAGGTAAAACTGTGATTAATTTAAAGAACTTAAAAGCATCTACAGTCATGAACCTCTTCATATGTTTATAACTCTGCTATATCAGTTTTCTCTTTCTGTCATATCAGTTTTCTCTTTCATGTATATT